TGTTGATCTGTATTGTGTAGCTGGCCTAGCCCTGCAGTGGTAAAACCACGACTCAGGATGCAGCATCAGACTCCCGGCTCTCCTATCAGCGGCCTGATGTCCCCCACCGGCCGCTTCAGCCCCGCTCGGCACGCTGCCTCGCCGGACTTCAGCCCCAGCCGGTACAGCCCTGCCAACATTAGCTACATTCAGCGCCTCAAGCACTTGAACGAGCCGTCAGTTTAACTGCACCCACCTCCTGCGCTACAATGCAGCCATACCCTCTCCAAGCCCTGCCTTCTCTCACACACCCGAATCCAGCTGTACAGAGCTGGCTACACCAGAGCTCAGAAACCACAAACCTAACAGAAATATGCACAAAGTGTTTGGAAGATTTGTATTAATAATGTATGGTACGACTCCCATGTAACACAGGAATTCTCATCACAGTTAGGTTGTGATGTCAACTCCAGACTTTAAAAGGTAAAAAACAAAACAAACCTTGATAATTTATGTACTGTATGGGTGTGGACCATGTTGAATTGACGGTAACGTTATTTGTGGCAAGTGTGAAGCACCTTTATCATAGCCTGACTCAACTTTTATGAATATTGTGAACACAAGCCACACCCCCCAAAGTTAGCTGATCACTAAAACTTTAGTGAGGGATCCTAAAAAGGATCGTCACTGAAGATGTTCTTAAAAAAAAATTAAAATGTCAATATTTTAAAAATTATTTTTTGTATGTTGGTCAGTAGCACAAAATTTAAATGTTTTTATTAATGGTGTTAAAACCGACTGCCATTTCCTATGTTCTTTTTCCCCCTCAGTTCAGGAATTGCCTTAATTTTCTGAAGTGATGGACCAGCTCTCTGTCAGTTTGGACACATTTCCTCTAGTTCATACATGAAATGTATGGAAAATAAAGAAACTGAGATCTTCCATGTTTTTATTTTGTCCTTCAATAAATTCATACAATTTCCATCTTTTCTCAGTAGTTCCTGGACATATCTGGACTTTTTCTTTCTGTCGCAGTTGGCGGCCTTAGAGACTGTGCAATTTTTTTTCTTTATCTTTTTTCTGGAGTATCTTTTATGGGCAAACATCTCCTACAATGTATGAATGACAAAACACACCCATCAGTATAGTATTATTTCAGATTTGGCTAGTGCCTAGTGTTGCGATCACTTTAAAGCTGTGTGAAGTGATTTGTAACCACTAGGGGGCGAGAAAGACTCAAAGTAACTTGATAGGGTTTCTATGGCCTGTTACGACTGTCTTGTTAATGAAACTGCCTTATGATACAGAGAATACAGATTAGTTGAGAGCTGCTTAAAATATGAAGTTGATTAGCAGAACATGCGACCCTCATGATAGAATTTGATTTTAACAAAGTGCTAAGTAGAGCTTCGAGGCCCAAATTTTCAGTAATCCCTCAGGTGGTAAAACTGACTTCAAGTAAACTTGTGTAGATAACAGCAAGTTCTTGCAGTCCTCTAAAAACCTGCTGTATCCAGTCTGTATTGTAGGGATAACATCACTGCTGGGTGAGGGCTTATCAGCTGTGTCTAGGACTAAAAAGCCAATTATCCTGAATATTCAGATGGCCACTCGCATTTAAAGAATGTATTTTTTGTGTGAACTATACCTTTATCCGAGAGCACAAACTACTTCAGTGCGAAGATTGTGTCGTCATCCTCGTGTTCTCAGATGACAACAGATCTAATTCTGGTTTCTGAATGTGGAACTTTGCAAAAATGTACCTTAAAAAAAACTTAACATGCTTCTTGTGCTTTTAGCATTCTGTGCTTTATTAAAACTGAACTTTCATGGTGAATTCTCTTTCTGTATGTCTAGACCTCATTTGCTTTCAATTAATCAATAAAAAAAATCCTCACTCTTACTTTACTGTTAATGTATCCATTTATTTCATTGGCTGTGTTATCAGTAAAATAAGAACTGTGACAAGTTGTGCATTCATGATTTTATTCACTACAATGGCACCACAACATAATCCTGAAATGTTAAGCTAATAGCATGTTCAACAGCTTTACAAATTTTTATTTTATTTTTTTTGGTTTGAAAAAAATCAGTCACTTGTGTAAAAATTCTTCATTACATTCAGGAGGAGTTGCTATGCAGCTGTTAATCACTTCTGCTGGCATCCTATGGCACTGAAGTAATAACACCACCACCACAAAGTCTCTGATAACAGAGTTCAATTACAAAACAACACCATAATTTATTTGAAGACACTTAAGGAGGAACATTTCATGGGTCGGCCCATCAGGTCCGTGTTAGTTTGTCCGCGGGCATAAATCCTGCATCTCCAAGAGTCCTGAGGGCCACCCTACCGCTGGGGCGGATGGTAAGCCATGTGATGCTGCCATTATTCAAACCCATGCGTAACCAGCCCTCTGGAGGAAACTGAAGAGCCCTGAGGAATAAAGAATATGATAAGTGTTACCAATATCTACTTTTCTTTTTAAAAAATTGGATTGTGCAATTCTTTAATATCTTGATTTGTTTAAACTACTTTTTGTCAGTTATTCAGAGGATAAACTGAAGCTCAGTCAAACAGATCTAAGGGAATAGGAAAAGTGTTCTTCAGTCAGTGACTTTCGGACTGGGACAGAATATCAATACATCAATATAGCACAAGGCCTCCTCTTGTAACGCATCAATACACTGGCGCCAAATCTCTCACCTTAACAGAGGTCCAGTTATTGCAGTGGAGCTTATCAGATAAGTGAGGGTTAACTAAGCAAATGTTAACCAATTTCCAGTGAAGAAGAAAATCTCTGGGGTAAAACGTCTTGAGTGTATTGAGTGTATTGTGTGATCTCAGTATCATGTCAGCATGGGCAATATCTTATGCAGTGGTGGGGAATAATTATTGGATCCCTTGCTAAATTTGAAAGTCTGCCGGCCCCTCCGCCCAAAAAAGTCTATAACTTTTATGATAATTTACTCTTTTATAGAGAAAAATGTATACAAAGAATACAGAAAAGGAGGGATTTTGTTCCACTCCTCTTTACAGAAACTTTGTAAATGCTTTATGTTTCTTGGCTGCTGCTTGGCAACTCAAAGCTTCAGCTCAGATTTTCTACAGTGCTGAGATCGGGAGACTGGCTAGGCCACTCCATAATCTTTACAGCCCCTTTCCATTATACTGACTCGGATCGACTCGCCACAGTTTTCAGGGTTTTCCAGGTGATCCGAGCAGGTACTAAAATGTAACGTCAGACGACATCCCACTGATTGACTGGTCAGTAGCAGGCGCTATGTTGCTATGCCGGTATGTTTTGGAGCATCGTTACGCTGGAAGACTGATTCACAACCCATCTTCAATATTCTGACTGAGGGAAGAACACTATCATCCAAGATTTTATAGTACAAGGCCCCGACTATTTGCCCCACGATGCAGTGAAATCTTCCCGTACCCTTAGCAGAAAACCAGCACAAAAGCATGTTTCCTTCTTGTTTGCAGAGGATCAAATACTTATAAATTCATTTGCATGTCATTAAATGAAATAACCTTTTTAATGAGAGCACAATGACACAAGTGAAGCACAAATTAGAAATCCTATGTGAAATGGCTTGAATACATCGATTAGCGAAGCAAAGAGCAACAAGTCTGTCCTCAGCTGAGCAGCGACAGCACAAACCTGCAGACAAAATAACGGATGACATTGGCATGACACACGATGATCTCATAGCTGTCCTCCTTCTGTTTGGGGTCAGCCCGGTGGATGTAGCGGCGGAAGGCTGCCTCAATGCGAGCTCCATCTTCGTGGTACTGCTGGAGGACAGTAGAAAGGTTGAAAGCCACCTTTGTCACATAAAAGGGTTCTGTATGAACCCCAAAGCACAGTCAATGCATGTGTGCATTGTAGGAATACATGAAGAGTTTTATTCCAAAAAGAAGCCCGCTATGTGGCAGATGTAACAAACGCTAGATCAGGGGTCTCGAACTCCAGTCGTCGAGGGCCGCTGACCCGAAGCTTTTCATGTGTCCCTGTTGCAACACGCCTGATTACAATCAGTAGGTCATTAGCAAGACTCTATATATAACTGCATGCTGTGGTGGTGATTCAGCCATTGGACTCATGTTACAGCAGCTCATGAGTGAATGAACATCGTCCAATAAAAGTACTTTTAGAAGTATATTTTTCCCAAACACTTACATTAACTTAAATTTACTTGAGTAGGGTTAGGGGTTGCCACTTCAGCATGCAGTCGAGTTCTATGCTCTTGCTAATTTTACTCAGGCGTGTTGCAACAGGAACACATGGAAACGCTTCAGGACAGCGGCCCTCGAGGACTGGAGTTCGAGATCAATACATGAAACTGCTGCAGCAGCACTCCGGTCTCTAAAGAAATGCAATAGCTTATCTTTACTTTCACGTTAAAAATCCATCTTTATAGGATTGTTCCTTTGTCAACAGTTACCAGCTTGTTTAAAGCATGTGAATATCTACATAATGACACAAAACCAGACTGAACAGCTTCAAGACTCCTCATTTCCAATATTTTGGAAATTAACTCTTTTCATGATTCATTCCTATGCCAGTGCACTGATGTATGGTTGACTTTCGCACCCATAAGCCTCAACAAGCACTTGACAGGACAACTGCACAGACACGTAGGCAACAAAGTTACCTTAGGTATCAGCAAATCCAGGAAAAAAAAAAAAAGAAAGAATATCAAACCTACAGCCCACTCCAGAGATGGGCTGTAGGTTCTCTCACCACAGCGTCAGGCTTCCAGTGAGTGACAGGTGGAACCGGTTCAATAGGCGCACCTTCTCGCAGCAAGTCACATCTCACCAACTCCACTCCTGGACCCACAGGGACATAAGACAACTTCAAGTTTAGACCTTTTAAATGTAACGTTTTAAGAATCTACCAAACTTGAGTCTATGTGGTTGGCTGTGTTGCCTTTTCTAGTTACCTGGGATGTATTTACTGATTATATTTGCTGTCTCCGTGGCCCTGGTCATGCTGGAGTGGATTAACACGTCATACTTCAATCCAAGTGCAGCCAACCTTTGGCCAGTCAGCTCGGCCTGTTCACGGCCTGCGGATGGAGAGACACTGATCATTCCAACAATGCTCTGTCAGAAACAAGGAAAATCTGGGGGTTGGGGGGTATGAGCAAAACAAACAGACAGCCCCAGCACTCCCAAGGCTACCTCCCAGCATTACTTTGCATGCAGACTGAAGAACTACTAACCTAAAGGAGTGAGGATCTTCTCCTTGTCACTATTCCCGCTCAAGTTGTACTGGGAGTGTCTGATGAGGAGGATGTTGCGTGTAGCTTTGGGTTTGCTGTTGTTCTGCTCCGAGGTGGGGTCTTCGGTCGCATTCTCCTTCTTCTTCCCGTTGGTCAGAGCAGATGGATCTCTCCTGGTCAAAGTTCAAGCGTAGTGATTTTGAGATTAGAAGTGGCTTACTGTCTCACGTGGTTAAGGTGAGAGCTGGAAAAGTGGGTTAACGTAACTGACTTTAAATCTGCTTGGGAATAATCCTCACGCCTGACCGACTTTTAATGAGTTAAAAATGCAAGAGGACTTTAACGGCGTCATAAGTCATTATGCTCATGTCTTTCATTCGGGAAACACCTCGACTGCCAAGTTATGGTGATGCCTGCTTCAGTCCGTTACATAGCAGCTTGGTCCCGTTTGGTATGACGTTCAATACAGACGTAAAGGTAGAAAAGTGGATGAAAAATAACGGTGGCAGCCACGTCAGAACAAACAGAGGGTCACGGCACAACACATGTACGTGAACTTACTTGTCCCAGTTGAAGTCCCAGGCGTGTCCGGTCGGGGTTGGCGTGTGGCTGGCAGGGCTCCACGCCGGCTGGGCAGCTTGAAGGACGGCGAATCTCGACCACCGACTGACCCTCTCTCCGCCCCGGTCTCCAAAAAACCCGCGGGAGTCGGCGGCTGCGGCAGCGAAAACCAAGACTGCTGAGCCTCCAGCGAAGCCGCAAATAAGTTTCAAAGTTTTCCTGTATGACATCCCGCGAGCCGCCGAACAAGGAAACTAATGCTAGCTAATTAGCTGTGCTTAACAGTCGCGCTATTAACAAAGTGCACCCCCGCCTCTGCTGTTGTTAAACGCGTCTTTGACTTCTAATTCCAACTTTACAGCAAGGAGCAGAAAAACTATCCAATATGTTCTCTAAGCGCAACTACCTGCTGAGCTCCGGCTGTTGGACGGATACTAAAAACACAGTCGATACAAGCGAAAGCAGACTAATCAGTTTCCTCTAAACTTTACGGTGTCCCACATGAGCCAAAACAGTCAGCCTTCGCTCTCCCGCTTGAAATATGGAATTTTGTCGCGTGAGGGCGCACAGCTCCCTAACTTCACAGCTTGGGCATTTTGTGCTCCGTTGAATGAAGAGACTCTGTGAACTCCATTCATTCTGCACCATTTCACTATAAAATCATCGTAGGAGCCGCTCCAATCCGCACATAATTTCCTCCCTTACAAGAGCTCGCTGCCTATCGTCAGTGCTGAGGGGAAATAATAAGGATGCTGAATTTAAGAGTGGAAGCTGAGTCGTTGGACAAATCAGTTCTGACTGCTGGGTGTTGTGTGCATGCTCGGAGCTAAGCGGAGCAGTATTTAAACATTTAAGAAATAGGCGTGTTACACACGACTGTTGCACATACGGGTGAGAGCTACCTGCACCGTGCAGCTAAGCAGCGTCCTCTCCCTGAACTTTAACACACGGGTTTGCATTAAATTAATGAAAGATACAGCAGATTGTTGAGGTGAAGGGTGCGTGTTTTCGAGGAAAGCGGATTTTTCTGCGTATCAGCAAAATCTCGTGGGTGAAAAAAAAATGATGAGAAAGAATTTGCGCAAATATGTTTCCTTGCAATTGGTTCTGATTAAGACGCTTGCCGGGTTTGCGCCGAGGCTCCACCTTTTCGAGCGGTTCAGTGACCTCAGCAGTGGGCTGGATTGTAAGGGTGGGATTTCCAGGCTTTCACAGGCTCTGTGTGTTACTGCCTCTGTCTCAGGATCTATGCAGCTTCAGCGATAGCGAGCACGGACTGCGTGTACCTTTCACGGCCATAGAGAGGCACATTCACACACCACACTGGATCTCTCTTTTCTTCTTCTTCTCTACATGCGACTCCAATCGGAATAAATAATTAAGGAATGTGGAAATTACAGAATGCCCAACAGCGTTGGAAAGAGATTTAAACCCACCAAATACATCCCAGTGTCCACTGCTGCCACACTCCTGGTGGGATCGACCACTTTATTTTTCGTTTTCACGTAAGTTTGCACATTGCTTCCTCTTGATCTCATTCGTGTGCGCAGGGATTTTTTTCTTTCCTTCTTTCTCTCTTTTTTTTCCTTTTACAAACTGTGCGCTTCCCTCAGATTGACACGGACACAGGGTGGAGAGGGGCTGGAAGTTTGCACGGGTGGATAGAGTCACATAGGTGGGATAAGTGGGTTTTTATAAAGACAATCCCCTACTGCTGGGATGCAATGAAAAAAGCAGCTCTCTGTGCAGCCTCGGACACGCCATTCAGCTGCAAAACCTGCAAGGCAAACTTCCAATGAGCCTTGCAAGTTTAACTGGGCTAATGATCGTGGAGGAGACCGCGGTTTAGGCCGCAAACACTTCCCTTTAAAGAAAAGCCAGAGGCAGTTATTGATACATATATTTTTTAATGGTTGCAGTGGATCAGCGGTAAAAACAGTGATTTGTTAAGAGGTACAGAAAAGAAAGTGTAGTCGTGCAGCAGTGGGGCTCGTTAATGCGCCCTGCATCCACACTCACACAGGTTTTCCTTTAGGAGAAACTGGAGGTATGGGCTGCTTCTGACCAGAGCCTAGAGGTCTAAAAAAGAAGGCACAGTAAAATCAGTTTTCCAGAATTTTTCCAAGCTGACAGTGGTTCATCTGCTACATTATCACCTTGTCTGTCAATGAGCACCCCACCCTGGAAAAGGAATGTCCCATACTCCCTACATCTGGAAGTCAAAACTGATGCTGTAAGAAGCTCAGATAAGAGCAGGGAGAGTGGCGTGTCTCTGAATCACCATCCCTCCCTCATTCATTCCCCCTCAAGTGGTAAGCCTCAGGCGAACGGATGATCAATGGAATCAGCATCACGCTCCATCTCACATCTGCAAAATACCCCGAGGGGGTGGGTTTGAAATTATTTTTGGGGACCTCTGACCTATAGAGGGACAGCTCGCCCAGCTTCCATCTTGGATGGTCTGCTAAAGAGTATAAAACTGCTGATTGGGATTCCTCACCCTTCAGCGGAGGGAGGTTTTGCTGTTTGCCACAGCTGCCAATAGGAGACACGCTGGCTGTGGAGATGATTCATCAGCAGCATTAGAACTGATTTCAGTTTAGACATACAAACGAAGCCTTTTCACTAAAACTGCACAGGATGCTTTTTCTTTTTTGGTCTTCGCAGTGTGAATTGCTTGTCTCCACCTGGACAGTACACGCTTTATCTGCACCCTCTCTCTCTCTCGCTGTCAGGTCATTGGCTGAGACTAAAGGAAACATATGGTGTTTGTGGGCTGTGTCATTAAAAATCCCAACTCTGCCTGGTGTACTGTCTGGGGCTTTGCATAAACAAATGGTCTGATTTACAAGTCCTGAAACAGAGTCAGTGCTTTGTGATTTCATATGAGAAATCAGAACGTCCCCCTCCAACAGATCCTTTAAGAGCATTATTAGTCCGTGTTTTGCTGGTGTTCATGTCACTCTATACTTTAAGGTTTACCCCTAGCAGATGGTTAAAGGGTGAGGATTAGGCTTTACTTTATGTCACCTTCATTTGCCAGGAAAGGCCCTAAGAATTGACTCGTGTATAATGGAACCCCCCCCCGGGGAGCGGTACACGTCCAAACTAGGCCATGCCTCCTCATTCTCAGACACACGCAGAGTCCATTATTTCTTTATTTTGAATTCAGTCTAGCCTTGCGAAAAGACACGCTTCCAGTTTTTATCTAATGCATATTTACAGACTCCATAAACTACAGCAGTCTGGAGTTAAAACTTAAGAACTACATGTAGATGCAGCTTACCAGGGACACAAATCTTTTTTTATTCCCGGGCCTCAGTGAGCTAAACGTCTTACTGCTGCCAGCAAACCGCTTGGTGTCATATGGGCGACTGGAGTGTCCGTGGTGTGTTACTGTGTCTGGCTTACTGACGCCTGACAGTTTGTGTTTCCCACTGAGACTGAATTAGAACATGTTAGTACAGAATTATTTATATAGCCTCACACCACGACCACGACTCATCACAAAAAATCCTGGCAATAAATTAGGATTTTTAGTCACGGTTTAGCCATCGCATCATCGTCATCATCGCAGCCTAATCTGTGGTGCTTAGTCCTGTTACTGTGTCTAAATGTGTCCCAGCTTTGTATGGCTGTACCTTTTCAGTGTTTTTTCAGGCTAATTGCTGACCTTGACCATATGGATGTCCTGGAAATAGGACGGTTAGTTTCCAAGTCTAATAGTTAACATGTTAGAGCAGGCATGGAGATGTGTTGAAAAACAGGTGTCGATCGTCTGGACGAGGCTTACGCTCGGCAGTTCTTGCCGTGTGGAGGTGATTTATGAGAGAGGTGGTCAGTAGTGACAGTTGGAGGCTGAACTTCACCGCGATTGAGACCAGAGCTGCACACTCATCTTCAAATTCCACACATTTCCTCTTTTTCGCCGTTGTTTCAGTGAATCCAACTTCATTCTCTACCTGCTGAATGCTTGCGTTTGTGTTTTCATTAAGAGGTGCTTGTGAAGATTTTTAAGGGTATTTTTGCGAAGAGAGTGCAGATTAGTCTATAGAGGGTCTAGAAAGGGCTAGAAGGAGGAAAGGAAAAGCACATTACTGCAGCACGTTCGTGGATAGAGCCCGGTCTGTGTGGCTTATCTTTGTGGAAGTCACAAATCCACAACAGTAGCAGGACAGATTTAAAGTCCTACAGTTTTCTACAATCCAAGGGTTGGTGGAGCTGCTCCGACTTCCCCAGTGAGAAATCCAAGGTGAGGGGGCATTCCAACAAAAATTCCAACTGGGAACTCAAAGATCCTGACTTCTGAGTTAATGTGGAACACATCATTAAGCCAGCCTCAAAGTTTAGTCTAACTAAGGACACGCCCACTCTACAGTGCTAATGGTTAGCTTGCATGTCATGATTCGAGTTTCTGAATTTACCTGACATATCATGGTCTCTTGCAGCTACAATGTAGTTAGTTTGTTCCTTCAATTTAAAAAATGTAAACTGGCACAGACATTATCTAGGAGAGAATTCAGAAATACTAAAGACCCACCATCCCAAAGATCCAATCAGCATTAATCACCCGTCATCTCGTGATATTATGAAACTGTGACCGTGCATTGTAAAACTATAACTTGCGGGGGAAAGTCTTGCACGCCTTATATTTGCCACAAATTTGTTTGTCTTTTAAAGCCATTTCTAAAAGCTATTTTCGCCTGCTTCCTCACCACAAGGGGGCGCCACAGTGGGTAGCTTTGCTTGATTGATGTGGCAGAGTTTTAACTTGAGGCCCTTTCTGACACGAACCCGCTTCACTATGGAGTCGTGCACGTTTAATGTCCCAGTGAGCACTGAAGTGAAAATGACTGGTGTCTTCCCATTGATAGGCTGCGTGCTTCAAACCAACTAACTGGATCCAATCTAAGATCGCTGCTGCATTTCGGGAAACTTTGGTTCTGTTTCATCAGGTGTTTCAGCCAAATGCTATTCACAGCTTTTCTGTGTAATACTGAATCACTGAAAGCACAACTGAATGTTTCCA